AAATGTTTATATCAAATTAATTTGATACAGGACATGTGTTCATACGTAGATTACAGTTTTAGTACTTAACTGATCATTAACTAGTATTCTCACTTCATTGGTTCAGTCAACTATAGTGAGTTTACATGAACTGATGTAAACGTTCGATAAGTAGACATCATATTTTTTTTTTTATCAAATTGATTCGAGTAAATAATTATGTGAAACGTATGGGGGAGAGGGGGGGGGGGTTGGAATCAATTGGCACAAACTTAATATTGTATTTATTCAGATACAAAGTTTATTAAATATTTAATTTTTTCTGTAAACTCTACTAAGTACTAATCAAACGAGCTATAAGTTCAATATAAGTTTCACAACACATAAAACTTAAATTTGAATTAGCCCATGTTTATGAATTTTCTTAAGAAACTATTTATTAAGGTAATTATTTTAAATTATCCTAGTATTAATACTTTTAAAATTTTAATTTTGACTAAGGTTTGATATATTGTATTCTTAATTATTTCTAGATTAATTTAATTTAATTGAATGAAATTTGACAAAAATTAATATTTTACCTAGGAAAAGGGCTGTTCTTCACTGCCTTTTGTCCATATTTTCTCCATCGATAACCATCTTCAAGATTATCAATCTCACTCTTTGTCATGAAGGCAAATCTTGGTTCTTTTATCTTTTTTTCTCCTTTCTTTTTTGCTATGCACCTGAAATACTATAATCATCAACGATATCGATATTATATACACTAATATAAGCACAATTTTCTATCTTCACAAGGCAGAAATCCAAGATTTCGTATATACCGCAGATCATATTTATTAATTAAATTATATTGAGTATGTGGTTGTTGTAAGGAAAAACAATTATGATTTTGTTGAGTACCATACCCAAATACTAAAACTATATAACAAATTAAAGAGGAACATATGACATATATGGTCAAACTATTATTTTCTAAATATGTGAAAGAATCTTTGGATAATAATAAAAAGTCTAGTCAATGATAATCAACCTAGAAACTATGATTAGCATATAATATTAATCCAATTATAATGTATATAACCTAATCTTAAGATAATACAGAATCGTTTATGAAAATAAATCCTTGTTATGATCAGATGCAAATTTGAAATTTAAATTTTATAAATTTTAGATCGAAATCCAACCACAATTCTTTGATCTATCGAGATCAAAATCTATTTTAATTATTAATTTAGTGGATTTTTTTAACACAACTATTTTGGTCCACCTCTATACTAATGATTATGTGTGAGCAAATGAATTAAAAATGACTCACTCTTTCTTAGACTTGTCTTCTCCTTCTTCTTGGCTCCCTTTTACTTGAACATGTTTCTTGATTTTGGAAGAATCTTCTTGCTCTCCAACCTCATTAGAAGTAGAAGATATCGAAGAATTTGGCGTTGGTGGAACTTCAACGCTCGTTTGATTATCTCCTAGAGGTGAATCTAAGACAGGTTCTTCTGCAGTAGTAGAGACGTTATATTTTTCAGTAGAGTCTTGATTATCGATATGTGGACAAACAACTTCAGATGATGATGAACAAGACATACCAAAAGCATTTGATAGTGTGTTGTAGTCCATAGAGCCATGTAAACACTCAGTGAGAGTCATATAAGAAGAAGGAACAAATTGTTGATTTTGAATATTTGGAGTTATTGGTTGGTTATTATAATTTGAAGGATTTTCAACCAAAAAAGGGAATGTATTATTGATCCCTCCACCAATTCCCATGTAATCATGATAAAAAGGATTATCAGACATATTGGAGAAAAATATTATTTCGAATTCTTAAATTACATTAACACTATAGTTTTGTGCAATAAAAAAATAGATATGATAGATGAGAAATGTTTTGGAGAGAGAAAAAAAAAGAGTATGTAGCTTGATAGGTAATAGCAAATGGATGGTCCTTGGCGAAGAAAATATGAATTTGAGGGCACTCGTTATGAAGTTTTTATGTGTATGAATTTGGTTAAAATTTTTAAATTTATTTATTTTGAAAATCATTTTTTAACGAAGTATATTTAATTTTTTTAAAAATAATATATTTTGAGTTTGACTATTAGATTTGAAAAACACATTTGTCATATGCAGCATTATTAGAACATTAATTTATGCTTGGTCAAGATTTCAATAGAGAGGGAAAAAAAAACTTTTTTAACTTGTGAAAATTAAATTCTATAGCTACTTAAAATACATAGAGGGGAACCTAATTATCTAAAATAAGCACTTTTAAATTTCTTTTATAAAAGTACTTTCGATTTCTCAAATTTGATCAACCTAGCTATAAAAATGATTTTGGTTTAGCTACATAAGTACATCATCTTCCATATAATATGGTTAAAATTAAACACTTCAAAAATTACCTTTCATAGAAGTCATGTGAAAAGATTTTAAATTATATTGTAAGTAAATTTCCAAATAACAAACAATATTTAAATTGAATAATGTTCCTTTCATTAGGTAGATTTGAATATATAGGATTTTGATGTCTTTGTCATTACCTAGCAAATTGGTATATATAATAATACTAGATATTTTTTCCAAGTGTGTAAATGTATTTTTTTTAGAGTGAACTTAATATGAATTACACTTTTCATGGACAATAAAATGAAACAAAATTAAAATTAAAGTTAAATATTTTGTGAATAGTCAAATAGCTTATTTGACCAAAAACTTTGAAAGCCAAAGTATATCTATAATGATTTTAATCGTTAAGATTGTGAACTTAATTTTTTTTTCTCTTAACTCTTTATTTTGTTTAGAAGGTTTAATTGAAAAATTCGTTCATATCTATTTAATTACATTTAAAATTTCAATTTTCACCATAAAATTTAATTTTAAAAAAATTGTTTTCTACTTTAAGCCAATTATAGTATTAAAAAACGCACATTTTAAATTTATTTTAATTGCATCATTATTGTAATTCCCAAATTTTAAGTTTGTGTGCAACACATTATTAGTTGATATTCATTTAATTTTTTTTTGTTCTAATATTACTCAACACATGCAAATATTTAACTAAATTCTTCCCTAATTATCTTATTCTTTGACGTATTATTTAATTAATATGTTGACTCGTCATAGTCATACACTTAAATAGTTATCTATGAGATTAGGAAAATTTGCGACGTTAATCACGGAAATTACGTAATTAGTTATTTAAAATATTGCCACAATTTTTATATCTAAATATTCCTCGAGGATGTATTTAAACTACTAAAAATAAGAATTAGTTAGAAACAAGTTTTGTAGCTAAACAATAATATCCATTATTAATTCTAATTAGAGACAAATTAGTGATGATTATCACAAAATTTTGTCAGCAACGAATAAATTAGCGACGAAGTTCATAACTAACTACTAAGAAAGATATTTAATCTACAAATTCAGAGCATTATATCCACTATATAATTAAATTCGAATACGGAACACGTGAGAATATCTCTCCATCAAATTAAGAGTCACTTACAGGTTTTATTAAAAAAAAGTTCATTTACAATTCTCATAGGTTGAGTTGTGTGACTTATTTTATAGTCCCATTATTCTATCCTAAACTTTATTTCATTCTAAGCAATTTTTGAAAAAACTCATAATAATTCCGTCCATTCAGCTTAATCAACACTTTTGACACTTGTAATAATTCACGTTGATATATGTTATTGATTTTCTGTAAAAGTATACAAAGAAGCAAGAAACAATTTTATGTACACCAAAATTGCTAAAGTCATTAACGACATTTATATATCAGGAACTCAGAGTTTATACAACTTCCTACTAGATGCAAACTCATGATGAACTTCACCATTAATTTCAACGGAACTTAATCCATAGCTTCTTTCTCTATGTTTAGTATCAAACCTCGTTATAACAATTATTCACTATAAATATCATACATATAGTAAATTTTAAATATGAATATCTAAAAAAAATGTATTTAAATGGTGTAGATCAATAACTTCACGAGGAAAAACCACTAGTGTTTGTCTTTTTCTCATTCATAATCTTTGTATTTATTTGGTTTAATTGATTTATAATACATTTCTACACGTCAAATTATATCAGTGAGGGAGCCGCATAATTTAGAGGGGTCAACTGAGGTAAAAACATTTTGTATGAGGTAAAAATTGTTATCTCATATATTTAGATTAATAAATCAGAAAAAATAAAAGATGAAAAGAAAAATACAAAGAACTATTCGAGAGTACACAGATGTCACTCTATGTTCTTAAGAAATTTAATCCCCTTAGGTATTTGAGGTTGCAAATTAATTCCTCCGAATATAAAATCGGATGAACCATTAAAGAAGTTGTGGTACCTCAAACTTCGATAATTCAACAAACAAAATAAATGTAAGCAAAGAATTCGATGCAGAAAAATGAGAGAAAACCTCTCTATTTATAGCCAATAAGGGTAAAGGTCGCAACTCTTTGGAAATAAGATAACTTTTCAGAAAGATCACAACCCTTTAGAAAAGGCACAATCTTTCAAACGCTCACAATCATTTAGAACATACACAACTTTTCATTAATATCACAACCTTTCGGCAGAGTCGCAACCCTTCAGGAGAGTCGCAACCCTTCATTTCCTGTTTTTTTTTCTCACACCTTTAGAACCCAACAAAGATATCCTATATTGACACTCCACGTGTTTCACGTGCCTTAATCGAAATTCTGATTCCGTCATTAATAACATTGTATATAGCATCAACTCATTATAACAATTATGAATTTCAGATAAATACTATCACTATAACGAGGTTTGACTATATCCCACGAAAACAATCTCTACCGTTCGTGAGATAACATTAAATCAATTGTTATCCTAACTCGTAATTATTATTTTTCGGTAAAATGAGAGTTTAAATTCAAATTATTTCTAAAAAAATAATTGAACCGATATTTCTGAAAAATATAAAAGAGTGCAACGGTACGAAAAAAATTAAAAATGCCGCCATTGTTCCAATAGACACATCGTTTCTTCATTTCACTATAAATACAAAAAAAAAAATTAATTTCTTTTTTCATTCTTTATTCCTCGATCCAAGAAATTCAAAGGTTAATAATTTCTCCCTCCAAAAAATTATTCGAAAAATCTACGATTTTCTAGATGATAAAATCGTAATCATTAAAAAAAACTCTGTTAATTTGTAATAATGCAATTAGTATTGTGAATTGTGATAATTTTACAGATGAGTATTAATTAACAACTTGCATTGTAGTAATTTTATAATTTTTACAGTTTCTTAGTGTAATCATATGGTTATTTGATTATATATTTGAAAATTTATCAAATAATGTTATTTTCAGGTAAAAAATGACGGATCAGAAGGTGGAGACTAATGTGGATGAGAAGAGAGAGATTGATTTGAACAAGGAGTTTGATCCGATTGAGAAAATTGTTTTGTTGGAGCGCGAAAATGATTTGTTGTTGAAGAAAGTTGAAATGTTAGAAGCGACTCGAAAAGTTGAAATTGAAGAGAAGGAAACAGAAATTAGGGCACTAAAGCAACAACTTGAGGAACAAGAGAAAAGGTGGAAAAATAGGCAGGATTTTTTTGCATGGCGAAGTATGAGTTGGCGAAAAGGTAGAACTAAAGAGTTGCTTGATAGAATATCGGAATTGGAGAACAAATTGAAGTGTATGGAGGACGCGATTGCCATGAAGGAGCAAGTTGGTGAATCTTCCGCTGTGAAAGAAGAGAACTGATGTAGTGCTCGTGTGTTTTAAATTATGTTATTATTACTATGCATTTTTTATTGAACTAAATTTATTGAATTGATATGTAATTGCGTTTTTTATTGAGCTTAAATCATTATTGATTTGTGTTTATGCAATGTGTGTAGTGTTACTTTTTGTTGTATTTTATGAAAGTTGAAGTCTTATACTTATCGAAAAAATATTAAATTAATTACTTATGAAATTAGACTATGATCGATCATAGTTTGTTCAAAGGGATGTTTAGATATCTCATAATGAAAAATTGGCAAAAAATTCATGGACCAATTACTACATGTATAGACAAATTTCTACTTCTCTATGCATGTCTCGCTACAAAAAATATAACTTTTAGCGAAATTAAATATTGACACTAATAAAAAGTGCTAAAGTTTTTATCGACATTAGTTAATTGCCATTAGAACCAATATCGCTCAAGGCTTTAGGAACATATACGAAGAGTGATAATTGTCGCTAAAAATACATATTTAGCAGTAATTAAGAGTTAATTGCCGCTAGTAATCATTTTTGTTGTAGTGTTGTTTTCTGTATTAGAAATTATGTGGTACTTTTCGAAGTTTAAAAGTTGATTTTTTTAAAACTTAAACTACATGAATTTGGACATATAATTTGTAACACATTAGGCATTGCATTTTGACTATTATTGTCGTTTAGCAAATACTGAGAAAACAACATTTTATAATCTCTTAATGAAAATAGCATAGACGATGTTTTTATCATGTCACAAATCAATAAGTTTTTTCTCGAATAAAAATGACATATAGGAGTTAATAACACGTTATGTGCATATTTTTTACTATTGTTTTCGTTTATCAATAATTTTTTTTTATCTCCAAATGAATATGGCATAGATAAGCCTTTTTATCATGGCATGGATGCGTCTTTTTCCAAATAAAATGGGCATGGATGAGCCTTTTGTCATTGCATGGATTATTCTTTTTTTTTTAAAACGGAAATGACATAGATACGTCAACTTTAAATGAGTAACATAAATAGGTGTCTTGTCAAAGTTCAGTCGTATATTTAAGTATTTTTCCTATAAAAATATGTCATATAAAATAATTAAGTTTCTTGTTCAAGTCTTTACAACTAAAAACTTGTCTTCGTACTTCAAATTAAAGGGCAAAACTATTATACGTCATATAATTCAAAAACAAAAATTGGATGATTTTTATATTTGAGCAAAAAACATAACGAATGATCGAACTAACCCATTTTAAATAATTCCGCGATATATTTGAATTTTGAATAATGTACCCTTTTGTTACAGTTGAAAAGTCGCTTGGTTTCTCCAACAGACACATCGATTCTTCAATTAAAATTTTACATTTTGTCACGACCCAAATCGGATCGCGACTGGCACCCACACTTACCCTCCTATGTGAGCGAACCAACCAATCTAAACCTTAACATTTCAATATAATATCAACAGAAAGTAATGCGGAAGACTTAACTCATTAATAAAACCAATTCAATAACTTCTAAAATCCAACATCTATTATTCCCCAAAATCTGGAAGTCATCACCACAAGAACATCTATGATCAAATTACTAAACTAAGAGTATTCTAAGAAGCTAAAATAAGTAAAAGCTAGTCCATGCCGGAAGTTCAAGGCATCAGGACATGAAGAGGAAGATCCAGTCCAAGCTAGAAGCATTAGCTCACCCTGATATCCAGAGTAATGAAGACTGGCTAGAGTTGCGATTGAGTTGAAGACGATGGCACATTTGCTGCACTCCACAAATAACAAAGAAGAAAACATAAAAGTAGGGGGTCAGTACAAACACAAGTACTGAGTAGATATCATCGGCCAACTCAAAATAAAAAACAGTATATATCAGATAACATCATAAAATCAACTAATATCCTTAGCATGCAACATTTACAATTACCATAACCCTTGGTCACAACACCAAGCACATCAATGAGGACTCACGCCTCCTCATCATACTCATTTGGGAATTAGATTCATTAGATTGAGTATATTAACATCTTTCAAGATTTCATTATCTTTATTCCTCTCGTGTCGGTACGTGACACTCCGCTCCTCATATTCTATCCTGGTGTCGGAACGTGACACTCTGATCCTCATTCTATCCTGGTGTCGGAACGTGATACCCGATCCATATTCTATCCTGGTACCGGAACGTGGCACCCCATCCATATACTATCCTGGTGTCGGAACGTGACACTCCGATCCTCATATACTATCCTGGTACCGGAACGTGGCACCCGATCCATATACTATCCTAAATGTCGGAACGTGACACTCCGATCCTCATATACTATCCTGGTACCGGAACGTGGCACCCGATCCCCTAATCTCACTACTTTCGTTCATCAAGCCTTCTTTTATACCAAGACATCATCATTAACAAAGTAGATTAGGGTTTCTTTTCAAGATTTAGGATTCAATAGCTTCATCATGCTTATTATATCACAATTACATAATCGCATTCATGCAAGCATACAATTAAGCATATAGAAGGGTTTACAATACTACCAATACATATCATTCGCTATTAAGAGTTTACTACGAATAGCATAAAAACCATAACCTACCTCCACTGAAGAATTTGATCAAGCAAGCAATTTCCCAAAGCTTTGTCCTCTTCTTTCTCTTGATCGTACGTTTCTCCCTCTCTTTCTGTTCTTTTCTTTTTCTTATTCAAACTCTCTTTCTTTTACCCTAATTAGCATATAATTAAGTATAAAAGATGGCAATAATAACCCACCAATTAACTCAAGGTTACCTCTTTTAACCCTCAAGTAGTTAGACTTATTAACATTAACCCACTAACTTTATAATTAAAGCAGGAATAGTCAAAAACGTCCCTTAAAACATTAAAGAAATCCGACCCCGCCTGGGATTAAGCAGCCTGTGACGGCCCATCGCGCCTGCGATGGTCCGTCCTGCTGCTCCGTCACAGAGTTCAGAGACTCTATTTCTCTGAAAAGTCTGTGACGGTCCGTCCTACCATTCCGTTACGAAGTTCAGAGAGTCGATTTTAGTGCCCATTTTTCAGAATTCTAAGTATTTTGGAACGAGACCCCCTCGACGGTCCGTCGTGCCAATGACGGTCTATCGTGGGGTCCATCGTTTCTGCCAGTTTTTCCAGAATCAAAGTCTGCTGCTCAAAACGACTAAACAGGTTGTTACAATAGATACCAATTTACCCATCGTTCGTCCCCGAACGATCACAAGAAGAAAAACAAGGGCGAAAAGAAGTACCTGAATCTGTAAACAGGTGTGGGTATCTTTCTTGCATATCAGCCTCTTTCTCCCAAGTGGCTTCTTCAACGGGTCGATTCTTCCATTGAACTTTGATGGATGCAATCTCCCTTGACCTCAGCTTGCGAACTTCTCTATCCAAAATGGCAACAGGCTCCTCCTCATAAGACAAATTTTCATCAAGCAGAACTGAATCCCAACGGATAATGTAGTTTCCATCCCCATGGTATCTTTTCAACATAGACACATGAAACAACGGATGTACTCCGGACAGCCCTGGAGGCAAGGCTAACTCATAAGCCACCTCCCCTATGCGCTTCAGAACCTCGAAGGGACCCATATACCTCGGACTAAGCTTACCTCGCTTACCAAACCGCATCACCCCTTTCATGGGTGAAACCTTCAGCAAGACTTGCTCACCCTCCATAAACTCCAAGTCTCTAACCTTGCGATCTGCATATTCCTTTTGCGTACTTTGCGCTGCTAAAAGCTTTTCTTGAATAGATTTTACTTTCTCCAATGAATCCCTCAAAAGGTCAGTACCCCAAGGTCTAACCTCAAATGCATCAAACCACCCAATAGGAGACCTACATCTTCTCCCATATAGTGCCTCAAATGGGGCCATATCAATGCTTGAGTGATAGCTATTGTTGTAGGAGAACTCTGCTAAGGGTAAAAAGCTATCCCAATGACCACCAAATTCTATCACACATGCACGAAGCATATCCTCCAACACTTGAATTGTTCGCTCAGACTGACCATCGGTCTGAGGATGGAACGCAGTACTAAGGTCCAACCTAGTACCCAATTCCGCATGCAATGTTTTCCAAAACTTAGAAGTAAACTGCGCACCTCTATCTGATATGATGGAGAGTGGAACCCCATGCAACCGAACAATTTCTGAGATATAGATTTTGGCTAACTTCTCTGCATTGTAAGTCACCTTGACCGGAACGAAATGAGCAGACTTAGTTAACCTATCAACAATCACCCAAATAGAGTCATACTTACCCATTGTCTTTGGAAGACCAACCACGAAATCCATTGCAATCCTTTCCCACTTCCATTCAGGAATGGGCATTCTCTGAAGTGTTCCTCCGGGCCTCTGGTGTTCATACTTTACTTGCTGACAGTTTGGACATTTGGAAATAAAATCAACAATATCACGCTTCATTCTACTCCACCAAAAGTGTTGCTTTAGGTCACGATACATCTTGTTTGCACCAAGATGTATAGAATACCTTGAACTATGAGCCTCTATCAGAATAGTGTTGATCAAATCATCGACGCGGGGTACACATACCCTTCCCTTGATTCTCAAAACACCTTCCTCATTGATTTGTGCTTCCTTAGCCTCTCCTCGCAATACCTTATCTTGGATTCTGCTTAGTTTCTCATCATCAAACTGTTTTCCCTTAATCTTGTCAAGGAAAGAAGATCTTGCTTCCATACAAGCCAACAATCCTCCCTTCTCATTTACTTCTAACCTCATCAAGTCGTTAGCCAGAGTCTGAACCTCTCTAGCCAATGGACGTCTAGAAACTTGCAAGTGAGCTAGACTTCCCATGCTCCCTGCCTTTCTACTTAAGGCGTCTGCCACAACATTAGCCTTTCCCGGATGATACAAGATAGTGATATCGTAGTCCTTCAGTAGTTCCATCCATCTCCTCTGTCTCAAGTTCAAATCCTTCTGAGTAAAAACATATTGTAGGCTACGATGATCCGTGTATACTTCGCACTTAACCCCATATAGATAGTGTCTCCATTGCTTTAAGGCAAACACTACCGCAGCCAATTCCAAATCATGGGTCGGGTAATTACGTTCGTGCACCTTTAATTGCCTCGAAGCATA